TTTTTTCTGATAGTACACGATGGCTGCGTGCGGATCAGGTACATTAATGTTATAAAACCTTCAATTCTTCCAGCACTGTTCTCTTTGCCACAAGCATATTTATCAGTCACCGGAGACATTTCGGGGGGAGAGTGTTACGCATGAAGATCCAGCCAAGTCCCTGGCTTTATTGCTAAACTGTCGCAGCCAGGACAAAAACGGAATGGCTGTCACGGTTTTGCGCTCGAAAGGGAAACGAGCACTCATATTCTACTTGGTACAGCAAGGAAAGCACCTTCTGAATGGCAACAGCATACGACGCTACTAACTTAGATGAAAAATTCCTGCAATCTTTAACATGTACATGGGTTCACTCAGTACTGCTCCTAGTATTGAATATTGACGCTATCGCTGTAATTGGCACAGGCGCGAAATCGTACACTTGCACCGTTGCGGAATCGAGTAGCAACAGGGCGCTGGTGTGACGACTAAATCTAACAACGTGCTATCTGCAATGAGATGAAGAGAGCTCTTCTATAAAAAAGGCGTGTCGGTTGACCCTCTGTGGTCTCTGGACATCGTCGTCAGAGCCCGATGACAAAGGCAGGGAGACAATCGGTTTGTCATCCGCTGCCTCTCGCACGACCCTTTAGGTTCGCTTTTAGGCGATTCATTGAGTTCGAATTCGAGACTTATGCAGTCACGACAAAGTCGATGACGATTTTACTCTGTCTCCAGTAGTGCTGGGAGGTCCAAAAAGCTGAGTTTTCAGTTCCGCGGAGAGATTTAGAGCACAAGTCTATCGAGGATCCAAGAAATTTTGATTCTTTGTACTTCAAGAATGAGAGAGCAATTGAGTACAACTTAAACGACAAGCTAAGTAGAGGACTACGACTAGACGAACTACAAGAACTAAGAAAAAGATGGCTGAAGCAGACGTGGCATCTGCATCTTCTACCACCTCTGCGTGGGACCGGCGATCCGTTCCTGATGGGATCGGGAGAGTTGCAACATCTTCTAGTTGTTTCTCTTCCTCTTCTTCTTGTTCCAGAAAAATTACAACTAGTACAACAAGGAGAAAGCTTAATGTTGGCCCTACTTCTTCTTCACGGAGGACAAGAAAAACAATCTCAATCTGCCCTTCATCTTCTTCACGAGCAAGAAGAACAACAAGAGGATATTCTGCCTCCACCAAGTTGTTCCTCGGTTCTGTAGTTGTGCCGACAGTTCTTGTGAGTGGTCTTGTGTACCATGACCCTAGGATGCACACCGATGAGGACAGTCGGGAACATGTTCTGCAAGAGTTGCGGAATAGCATTCTTGCATCTCTGGAGTTTGCATCTTCTCGAAAAGGTGCTGGTGGAATGGTGGATATTGTCAGGAACCAACACAAACTCGCTCAGTCGTCGAACATTCCTGTCGGGAAGAACAACACCTTCTGGTCGCCGTATACGTTGTCGTTCGACAAGAATGGAGCGGCGGCGGACTTTTCGGCGATGAAGAATTCTTATGTTGACACTGACTTGTTTATCTTGTTTATGTTTGGACTTGGAGGCCTACGCTGTAGATAATTAGAATTTTTATTTTAATTTTTGGATTTATTCTGTTACTAGTTTACTAAGTATGTTACCTCAAGTAGTGCAAACTGCTATTTTTAGATTTAAATTCTGAAAACAAGTGTAGTAACTAGAACTTGATGTAGATGATGGAGATGGAGTTGTACTAAGTAAAGCAAAAATTCTTGTAGGTCTGTGCCTGTTGATGGAGATGGAGTTGTACTAAAGCAAAAATTCTTGTAGTTTTGTGCCTGTTGATGGAGATGGAGTTGTACTAAGTAAAGCAAAAATTCTTGTAG